TCCAATAAACTTTGTTTTATGGCTTGAGAGTTGACAAGCCAAAATATAATTCCCACCATAAATTAGTTTAAGAGCATACAAGTGCAGATGCTTTGGTTCCTGGAAGCAGTAATAGGGAAAGTGTTAGCAAGGAACATTCGGCTTGATCCTGAACGAGATATTTCTGCTCTCAGGTTCCCCTATCCACTGGGAAAGAACAGTAAGTCCGTGATTACCTATGATACAACTGAAGACTTAGTCGAATTTCTCTGCTGTTTGTTGATCCTGAGGGTGGAGGGGAGGAGTTGGGAAGAAACACAAATCCAATTGATTCAAAATCAGCCTAACTAGTAATGACCAAAAAGAGGAAGAATCGACCTTTTCTCCCTTTCTCCAAACACTTACACAAAGATAGCTTGTCAATATCCCTTCACCAGAATTAACTAGGAAGGAGGGAGTTTACTGCCTCTTTTCTTAGTATAACGGTACATCTAATTGAGATAGGAAAGCGGTTATAACACGCTGGGAGGGGAAAGAAAAGGGGGAAACAGTAAATTGGGAAGGGGTGGAAATCTTGAGATTTCTCGGTGCTTAGGAGATGTGGGCTATTGTGTGGAATAAAACTTAAAAGTGGGTTGGCATTTTCTATGGAGAAAATAGCTCTGGGTCTTACTGTAATAAGAATTCTCAAACAAGCAATGCTGTCAACTGATATAGATGTATGTCTGTATAGGCATTATGGCATAAGTATAAATGCATCAATTTGCAGCAGTGCAATTTACCTTTATACCCACTGATTACACCTCCTCCCACCATGAATTGGTTTCTCATTTTCCTTTGAATTGATCTTTATCATTGAATGAATTCAAGTAGAATTGGGCACTCGATCCCAAGTCATTCACAGATCCTGCCTGAAAATGGAGAGGCAAAGGTCTCTAGGCATTGAGAGGAACTGTAAAGTTTCATCAAATGTAAATTTTAAAGTAACCTGAATGCATTAATAGGAAAGTAAAACAGCTTCTAGGCTCAGAGTAGGGTGGAAATCTCCCAGGAAGGGATAGATCGTGGGATCTACTTTCTCAAGAACGGACTTGGAGCCAACTGAAACACAGAAGGCAACACACAAAGGCCCTATCACTTCCCACTACTCCAGTGGGGAAACTTTGTTCCAAGTAGTTTGAGCCAGTGCAGGAAAACCAGAGAGGGGGTCCAGCAGGCCAAGAGGATTCAGACTTCGGTGCACACAAGTGTATCCAAATTGGGACTGCAGGTTCTGGTTTGGAAGGAAACTTTCAGGTGCTCTATAGTTCCCGAAGCCTCAGGGTGGGAGACATTCTTTTATCTAGGCGGGACACCTGGCAGGCCTTTGCTATTTTACTCTGCACTATTGAAAAAGAACCTTGCTTTTTTATGGAATTTAACAATGACCCACGTTTTTATTGCAACAGGTTCGGCACAATGGAAAGACGTCTCCTGTAAGTACCCCTTTTGTTTCTACCTCCTTCACAAAGTTTGAATTGCTTGAACTGTGAACTGTTAAATGCTTTTGGAAAAGAAATACAGCCGGGGAGGGGGAATGAAGCTTGCCTCTCCTACCCTGGGGTTACTTGGGTTTCTGGAGTCGTGGAGCATGAACCAGTTTGAACCTGCTGTTACTGGACTCTCTAGCAATCACCTGTGATATGGAAACTTGCAATTGAGTTTTCTGCGAAGCAGTTACCATCCAGCACAGGTGCTAGATGGCATCTTAAAACTCCTTTTAAATACTTGAAACTAATTAGCAGTGCTACCGTGTTAACTGGCTGGAGCTACGCAGCGCCTCCCTATGCGAACACTGTAATCACTGAATTAAATCATAGACTTCCAGAACCCGACCACTCCTCCTTCAACCTCACGCCCAACTGCCTTTTTTTTTTTTCCCCTAAAAGAGTTCCCTACTACTCTCTCGTCTGGCTCTCCTGATTTGGAAACACATCTGTAGAGGAAGAAAAATATTCATGGGCTTCGCGTGAACGTGGCTTATAAACACTTTTGAGATCCAAGGGGGCAGGGTGGCTATTACTATCTGGTATGGTGTCAGACGGGCCATCCTGTTTCCATAGAGCAATTGAAGATACTCCCAATGCTTTAAGAAAAATGAATAGGCCAGCTAAAATAGCCCAATAGAATGTAAGAAAAGAGTGGGGGCAACCACTGCTGGGGCTTGAGTGCTGTAATTTTGATCTTCCCGGGGAAGCACGTGAGAGCACCAGAATTTCTGAGTCCTCCGATTAGGTCTCCTTTAGAAAATCTTCATTCAGATGATGATCAAGGATTTTTTTTTTTTTAAGAAAAGGAAAGAGAAGCCTTGGTTACCTAGCATTTCACTATAAAATTGTGCAAATTTTTGTCTATGAGGAAAATGAAGTGTGAAAAAGATAAGTTCTCCACGAATGCCCATCTTTCTAATTAAACATTATCTATCCTTGATCATGTGAAGCAAAAAATTATATATATATATATATTTGTATACATATATACCTCGTATATCTATAGAGATTTATAATATATACACACGTTTTCCCAACCCACAGACAGAGGCAGCCTTCCTGATAATCAGGTTGTTTTAAATCACCACGCCAGGCTTATCCTTGCGCTGCAGATTCTGCTCTGTGATTTTCCCCCTTCTCTTCTGCAAGATGTCCTTGATGAAGTTAAATGGCTCTCTCTGCTCTGGGATTTAACATTCTCTTTCATAGGTAACCTTTTCCTTGTGCTGAACTGCAGATATGCTCTTGGCAGATGAGGCTTGGGCTCCCCTTATATTTCTGAATCACTTTTTTCCTCTCCCAAACCTACATTTAGCATACCGATTAGGAACACGAGCACAAAAAGCCTGTAGATCAAAAGCGTTTGTGTGGGCAGTTGAACAGGAGGTGACTATTTAACGCTTTTATTCATCAATAACTCTCTGGCTTTGACCTGTCTGAGCAAGTCTTGCAGTAAGGTGAAATGCAGGTCACAGCGTCTCACAAATATGAAAATGTACCGGATTTCTCCCATTGCGAAGCCCATTGGGTCCATCTCTCTCGATTTTTCTGGATGAGATCAAGAACCCTTGTCAAGTGCAGGAGTCAAATGTGGACATTTTGTTTTATTTTGGATATTGGGAAAGGGGGCCTGCCTAAGAGAGATCAGACTGACTCAGTAAGGAAGGGGGAGCCCTCTTCAGAAGCATTAGGCAGAAGGATCATCACTACTAAATTCTTAAAGCTGCAAAGCAAAGAGATTCACTCTAAGGTCAAATACTTAGTTGACAAAAAATGATATCGGGGGTGGGACTGGGTGGAGGACAGATTTCATCCAAGCAGGGACCAATGCAGTAGTGCCAGGAGCTGCCTCTCTCCCCCAACCCTTACTCGCTATTCCCACCCAAGGTCAGAGTCTCTATATATTTCAAAAATTAAAAAAAGGGAAAGAAGAATCAGAAGAAATCTCAAACTTATGACCCTCTATAGAAAAAAAATCCAACCAGGATGGCCCATTTTTCTTGCTCTGAAATCCATCCTCCCGAGTGTCCTTGTTTCCCTGCTTGAAAACCCGACCCGAGCTGAGGGGTTGATCCCCGGACAGCACTGAGGAGTTGGGGCAGGAGCAATTCATGAACTTTTGTACTCTTGTGTGCTGCTGTCGCCAAAGCAAAAATAATGAAACTTTGTGATATGTTTGTAAATGATTTCGAATGACCTCTAGCCCTGCCCTTCACCATAAATGCTACCCCACTAAACCTAAGGACGTTTGCTTGAGCAAAGCATTCGACCCTAGGTTTTACTGCCTGAAGTTGGAGAGGATAAAAGAGAAAGGCACTCTAATGACTCGAAGGTAAACGGAACCAGTTGTGTTGTGTTTGTTTTGTTTTGTTTTTCTGTAAACTAACTTTAGCTTTCAAGCCAGCGTTTTACTTCAGCTAGGGGGAAGGGACTGGTGCACGAATTGCTCTGTTTCCTCTTACCTCTCCAGATAGTGTCTGCTTTCTTTCTGGAAATGTTGCTTAGAGAGATTGTTCGGATGGCCAGGAGTAGGGGGAAATTTGTCAATTCCAGGATGGGTCATCATTATTAATATTATTATTATTTCACTTTTTTTTCCTTAGAAGAGCTCCAATGGAGGCTTCTAAATCCCACTCAGGTTTTTCTCTCAGGCAGAGAAGGAAGAATATTTGAATTAGTCGCTGTAAATTGTCCTTACGTCCTAAAGAGGTATTTCAGCAAACTGTAGACTACCTGAATGTCTTCTGAAAATACAGATTTATTTCAATGGAGGATGACAGCCTTTGGCCAGTGCAGAATAGTTTTGATTTAGAATGGATGAATCAGGATGAATCAGAAAAAATGCAGTGATCCTGGCAGATTACATTGTAGATGAGAACAGAATGTTATTACGTTGTCTATATATACCCTGTAGAACCGAATTTGTGTGGTATTCACATAGTCACAGATTCGATTCTAGGGGAATATATGGTCGATGCAAAAACTTCATATTTCTGCAAGTGGTTAAAAGTGTAAATGTCTGGGGATCCGAAATGAAGTGCATGCTGCTTTATTGGAGACTTATCCAAGTCATGCTAGCTCTGTCTTATTTACTGACACCTTACAACATGGGGAATATGGATTGATGTTGGTGAATTATAGATCAGCTTTAAAATCTGTTCATTGTAAAACTGAGTCACATGGTAGATCTGGACGACCTGAAAACTAGTTTGATATGTGAATGCTTCTGAAAGAGGGCACTTTTTAAAAAGAGTTAAGAGGGTAGGTGTGAAGAATTTCCCTGGGCACTTTTTTTTTTTTTAAGCTCCTGGATTATCTGGAAAGTAGCACGAAAGGTATTGGCTTGGATTCACTTCTGCTCAAGGCAGATGGATGGACGGGGGGAAAGTTTATATGTTTAAATTTGGGATGCTTTCCTGGGATGGTGTTCCGCAGTCCTCGATTTAACTGCTTGTAACTTCAATCGTAAAGAAATGGGGGGTGGGGGTGGGAGATAACCCGAAGCACAAATAAGAGTCACCCTGCTTTCTGTGTGAATTTCTGTACGGGGACCTGCTAAGTGCATTCGGAGTTACTGATTGCCTAATTTTATTCAACCGAACTAGATTCTGGTAACTTTTGGGTGACCCCGGGGAGACAAAGCCAAGACACATCTATTGTACATCATATTCCCCTTCTGTTTGATGGCTTTTCTTTGGGCGTGGAGTCTTTCTCCCAGTTCTCCCTCTGCACGTTTTCCTCAATGTCTTGATGCCATCCCTACCCCTTGCCTCAACCCCTCTAGCACACAGCTATATATTCTTGCTGGATGTTTTATTTACCAGTGTAAGGTGAAGGGCCGGGGAATGATTTCTGGGGGATTAGTGGAAAGGGCATGGAAGGTTAGAAAAGTCAGTTTCAAACAAAAGCTCGGATTACCTGAGGGGCAAAAGAGATGAGGGTCGGAGTGATGAATCGTCCTACCACATTAACATCTGGCTGGGAAGACCAAATGCATAGAGTGGAGTCACTTGATTACACGTATATTATTTAGTTAAATTTGTGAAAATTATGAGATGCTCACAAATCCGGTGATAAACTCCCTCCCTCGCCATTGGCTGGGGCGGTCACATGGCCCCCTAACTTTATTCAGTTGACAGCAAGTAGGAGGGCCCTATGGAAGGAGAAAAAAAGACAACACGAGAAAAATTAGTATTTTCTACCTTCAGAAATTAATGGCCATGAGTTCGTATATGGTGAACTCTAAGTATGTGGACCCCAAATTTCCTCCTTGTGAGGAATATTTGCAGAATAGCTACCTAGCCGAGCAGAGCTCAGACTATTATAGTGGCTCTCAGGGTTCGGATTTCCAGCATCAGGGAGTCTACCCACGGTCAAACTACAGCGAGCAGCCCTTCAGCTGTAGCAATGCCCAAGGCTCTACGGTGCCTCCGCGGGGTCACGGACAGGAGCCATCGGGCCCGGCGAGCCACTACCCTGGCCAAGGGGAGCATTGTCCCCCGCCTCCAATTCCCAGTTCCCGGGCCTGCAGCCAGCCGGCCAGCCTCAAGCAACCTCCCAACGGGACGGCCCTCAAACAGCCTGCTGTGGTGTACCCCTGGATGAAGAAAGTACATGTGAATTCCGGTAAGGTTCCTCTCTTGGCCCCCGTCCCCCCCCCCCCCCCCCCCCCATCCCAGACCCACCATCTCTGAGGCTGCTACCCTCAAGTGCTTCCCAGACCCAGCTAGGAGTTGTGGACTATGTCCGAATGTATGTGTTATCTCTCTGTGTGTGTGTGTGTGTGTGTGTGTGTGTGTGAATGAGCGTGTGTTAAATGGATGCCGCAATTACTCTCCCCATAAATTTTTATAGCTGAGGAAATAGGCCGTTGGCCATGTGGTTCCTTGGCTGTATCAGGGAAGCGGTGGGGGGGGGGGTTTCCTCCATTTTTAGAAGGAGAATATGTTAGAGGTGAAAGGGGGGAGTTGTAATTTACAAAATTCAGAGAATCCAGCATACACAGTTTTTGTTGGTTGTTGGGTTTTTGTTTTTTTTTTTGGTGGGGATTTAACGACCCCACACACCGACAAGCTTGTGAGTATGTGCACGCACGCGTCTATGCGCGTGCCCGAGGATTGTTTAAAAATCATAATGGAGTGTAAGCTCAGATTGAACTGCACCAAACTTGTTCTTATGTGGCTTACATTTACGTATATTTCTTTTGTTCCCCCTCAGTGAACCCTAATTACACCGGAGGGGAGCCCAAGCGGTCCAGAACAGCCTACACAAGGCAGCAAGTCCTAGAACTGGAAAAGGAATTCCATTTTAACAGGTATCTGACGAGGCGTCGTCGGATCGAAATAGCTCATACTCTCTGTCTCTCTGAACGCCAGATCAAGATCTGGTTTCAGAACCGTAGGATGAAGTGGAAAAAAGACCACAAGCTGCCCAACACTAAGGGCAGGTCTTCCTCAGCTGCTTCGAACCAGCATTTACAGCCTGTGTCCAAGGACCATCACACTGACTTGACGACTTTATAGAGGAGGTGAAATCTCCCCCCCCCCATCCCATCCAATCTCTCCAATCTCTCCCATCCCTCCCCCCAATTTCATCCTTTGCTTCTGAACTGTGCTGTGTGTAGAACTGACATGATCCGAACGCAACCTGCATGGAGCAGGCAAAGCCTCCCCAGGCTGTCAGCTTGCTTTAAGGTGCTGTGCTGTACAAAGCGGACTCGCTGAGGGTACTTCAGACTTTCTTGGCATTCTTCATACTAGCACAACTCCCAAACTCTCCAGGCAGGAAGTGGAAAGTTTAGGGAAAATTATAGAGAGAGATATATAATTATATATGTGTGTATGCATATATAATTATATATCGAAGGAGCTACTGAGTCTATAAAAATCTGACGAATCATTAAACACAAATGGAAATTGCATCTTTTGGGTTTTCAATTTTAAAGTGAAGGTTTGATTCTATGCCAGTATCAGTCTTGATGTTCTGTCAACCCTCATCCCCCACCTTATGTAGTTTCGGGCTTATGGAATGTAGGAGAGTTCAGGGCAGAAAGCTTTTAGCTGGTTACAGGATATGTGAACTTTCTGGGTCTTCTATCTTGTGGCTGATTGTAATTTAAAGTCCCTGCTCATGTTCAGAAACCCCCAAAGAAATACCTAGGAAAGAAGTGGAAACGGGTTATTTTATTTTCAGATTGTGTTTACATATTTATTTATTTGTCGATTAGAGGAGTACACACACATTAAAATGCGTTAAGCCAAAAATCCTAAGCAGGGGGGCTGAAGCTCAAGGCTCCTTCTTATGGAAAATCATAGAGAATATGTACGGCTTAGATTTTTCACTTTGCCAGGCATTTAGGACTCTCTTCCTCTTCCCCAGCCCACCTCCAGTATGGGAGAAATGCCCTAACCCTTTTATAAAGAGAGAGAGAAAAAAAAAAAACATATCTACTCAAAGTCATTTTCTTTAAAATGTGTTTAGACTGCACAACTGGTTCTTCGCTCTGCTCACAACCGCTTCTGTGGGATTTTTAAAAAGGGAACAAATGGTCAAACATTTTCATTGTGGGGAAACCAAACAAAACAGCCCCAGTCTTTGGTGCCATTTTAGAGATCCTCTTACCTTCCAACTCGATTTCCAACGCACAATTCACCTTGCACACCAGTCTGTTTAGGAAAGTATTGTCTTACCAGAAATCTGGAAAACATATTGGGGGCTGGGGGTGGGGTGGGGGAATACTGTCCAAATAAATAAGCAAGAAGGCAAGCAAATTGAATCAAATGGTCAAGAATAGGAGGTTAGTTCTAGGAGGGGAGAAAATTTCTTTTTGCTAAATAGAAGTAAAATTTTTATGTCCTAGTCTTGGGTGATCTAACGCATTCTTTTAAAGTTTTCAAGTTGTGTGCCTCACTTTGAGTTCGGCAGGAGAATAACATGAAAAATACTCAAACCAAGGGGAGGGGATTCATTGCCATTTTTCTTATACTTCTCTGCCAAGAGAGGTTTGTGGATTTTAAAAAATTTTTATTGTGTGTATGTGTGTGTGTGTGTGTGTGTGTGTGTTTTAAACACTAACCCTTTAAGTGTAAGTGGGTAAATGGAAAAGTTCTTCTAGGGCTGGTTAGAAACCAGGCTTTTTTATGTTTTTTACCCCCATCCCCCATCCCCAGTCCTCTGGGATTCTAAGATACAATCACCAAATAAAATTATTTGAGCTATTACAGAATTAAAAGGAAGGAAGAGCTGTGGAGGAAGGGTTAGGGTTAAGAGAAAGAAAGATCATAGAATTCTGTTATTTCTCCAGACATTTTGGAAGGCTCTAAAGGTAATCTTAAAATAGGCTGAAAAGGAGAAAATAGCAGTTTCATATATGTGTTTGCTTCTCAGTACAGTTCATGCCCAAAGCTGGGAGCAGGTATTAATTAATTTGAACTCTTTGGCTGAAATTAGACTCCTCTAAAGTTTTTTTCCAAGACTTGGTCTTTTGTATTAAATCCTGGAGACAACTCTTTGTTCTTCCTTGGGGTGAGCCCGATTCTCAGACTTGCACATGGCAATACTTGAATATCTACATGTCGTGATATTAAAGATGGATATTCCTGCATTATTCGCATCATTGTTTCGGTGACAAAAAGCACAGAGTTCATACATAGTAAAGACGTCTTTTTTCTGACGCCTTCACGTTGAGAAGCTGAAAAGGTATTTTACTGAAGTTCGGCTAAATTACAGAAACAGGTTCATCCAGAGGACAAATTTTCTATTCGATTAGCTGTATTTCAGCCGGGAGGACTGACCTCTAAACCCTTAACCTTTTGGACTCTAACTACCCTTCTCTCTCCCTCTCTCTCTTTTCTGACGTGGAGACCATTTGGATGCGGCATTTGTAAAGGTTTTTCCTTAGGCAAATTGGGCATTGCTCTCCCTATTCCCTGAAATTCACATCTCTGAATCCGTTGAAGCTTTTCCATGAAATGTCTATTTTGCATGATGTCCAGTTACAGAGAGCTTCCCCCCACCCCCTCGGAAGTTCAGGTTACTTAGCCCCAGCTTTCGACCAAATGTCACAATTGCTTAACTCAACTCTCCCTTGCTCTGGCTGAGAAAGCACACAAGTATGTTTTCTTGGAAAAAAGCCAAGACTCCTTCTCTTACTTAGAGCTAATACTCTGGAAAGTAACTTAATCAAAGAAGCAACCCCTTTGTTTATAAGTCTCAACTTTCCTTGTATGGCTCAAGTGATGGGCTTTTGAAATGTTAATATATACTGGATGGATGTGAGGGCAGACCCAACTCTTAAATTCATCTTGGGATCAAGGGTCCGTTTGGGCTTTCTGGAAGAGGGCCACACCAGGCCAGTAGCCTCGGGAAACCCTCTCTGTGGTTCCAGCCAAAGGGAGAGACAGGAGAGTTTCCATCTGTGTTCCTGCTGAAAGGGAAGCTTGACAAAAATGAGCTCCATTGCCCATTTGCTATTTTTCTTCCCATTTTGTTCCAGAAAATATGAGCCAGAAGTGTTTGTTTTGTTTATGTTTTGTTTTTTTCTTTTTAACTTTGGTGGGGGGTGGCTCTTTGACTGAAGGTGGAAGAGGAATGTTTTCTTGAAGAGATTGCTTCTCAGACATCCCACTTTGTAATATTGCAGCCTTTTGATATGACATCGTCAAGCAACACTATGATATCTGTCCACATAAGACGCTTTTATAGAATCTACCAATGGTTTTGCTGCCACTGATTAAAATATTATTTATACTAATTGTTGCCTGTAGTTTTGATGTAATTTGTTCTTATATATTTGAAATAATAAAAGGTGTAGAGAAACCTATTCTGTTTGTTGCCTTGACAGAAGCAGTTTTTGTAAGTCTTGAAAGTACTAAGTCTTGCTTGCTTGTTTACTTTCTTGTTTATTTGCATACTTATTTTACTTACTTGTCATTGCCCCCCAAATGATACAATAATGGGGATAGGGGAGGTAAACCTAGTTTACCTTACTTTTTTTTTAATTTTAGAGTACCAAAGTATACCTTTATAAAGTCCTTCCTAACCTCCCACCCTGACACCCCTCTTCACCAAACTACTTTTAAGCAATTTGACAAAACACATTGATTGGACTATTGTTGCTGGGGAAGAGCCTTAGCTTAGAATAAGTCTGCCTGGGTACTGTCTGTTATTCTCTTTTGGGAACAGTAATTGACAAGCTCATGCTAAAGGACTGGTTTCCTACCTGGTTACAGCCAGGAAAGCACTCCTGTCCACCCCCACCTTCCTCTTGAACCTTGGAGCCCCACAGAGCACTGCATTCTGAGGTGAATGGGTGAGCTCAAGCTGTTAATTGACAACTAGAAGGAAGAGATTCAATTCTGTCAAAAAACAAAACAAAACAAAACCTACACCACTAACAGGCTTGGCTGTATTAGCTGTTTTAAGCAGAACATCTTAAACTAAAAATCTTGGGATGCTTAAACTTTTCTGGGTCTGCTCAGTCCAGCTCCCGGCCCCTCCTATCTCCCTTGTGATAGCAGTCCCATAGACAACAAAAAACACGCCTTGCTATAAAAAGTGGCGGACGCTATTTTTATCGAGGGTATTTTTCATATTTGACTTGTCTTTCCTTGAAGAGTAGCCAAGGCAGGAATCCAAAAATAGATGGGGCTTGCTCGAGACACGAAATGAGCACAATGCATAAAATAAGACATGTGTACTTAATATATGGAAGGGCTCGCCAGAGACGCGTGTACATGTGTATTTATAAGTGCACAGACATAAGTTTAAATATTCAGACACATTTTATGATTATACTTTGACCGTCTTCTGTTTAATGGCTCCTCCTGTTACTACCAATACATCAATAAAATTCTGTATATTATATCACCACTAGTCGTTAAGGAAAGAATGGGAAGGAAAAGCAGAGTCAACAGCAAACACCACTCACTGTACAGTACAGTAAGCCAGGACCTTCCCAGCAGAGCCCTTCCACACAGCCTCCAACGGCCATGTTTGCCAGCCCTTTCCCCTGAACGGGGCGATCGTAGGGATCACCAGCAGCCTAGGGAGGGCCATTCATAACGGGGAGAATTTTCAAAGTGCAAGGAAGATGATAAGAATAGATTTCTACAAGTCCCGACCACGTGATTTGCGAAATAATTAATTCAGCACGTCCCTTAAGAAACACGGACTCGTCATTAATCTGCCAAGCAAAGGACTCTATCAGACTTGAAAACTGAAGAGATCCCAAGAATATAATATACAAAGGGAGGGAGCGGACTCTTTCTCTGCACACCTAACCCTCTGTAGCAGGCAAGAAAGAGCAGCTCGGTATGTAAACATTTTACTACTTTTATTTCTTCGGATTTAAATCCTTAATGAACTTAGCTGTCAGGGGGGTTGACAAATAGTTCCCTTGGCTTCCTGATTTGGAACCGTACGACAGTGAGAAGTTGTTAGAGGCTTATATAGTGACCTTTGATTCAGAAAAGCTTTGCACTTATGAAAAATTGCTGAGAGCGGCTAGAGGCTCTATATGTGTGCATGTGTGTGTAAGCGCACGTTTTGCTTGGCGATAGCAGGAGTTGTAAAGAAAATGGCAAGGCTGTGAGGTTTGCATGTGTGCTGAAATGGAGCTTAGATTTACTGGTGTAACTGGGAACAATGCTCGCTGTCAGGGCATCTGCTGCCTATTCTTAAACCGGAGAGAAAAGGCCCTGGACTTCTTTTCAAGCGAGGGTCGTAAATTTTTCTTTGCGTCATAATAGAAGGCTATAAAATCGAGTTGAAATTTTACCCAAGGCAGGTTTTAACCAACAGATAATGATTTCCGAGTTCCTTCTCTCCCTCCCCCCTCTCCCCAATCTAGACACTGCTGCTTCCCTCACTCAAGCTAGGCATCTTTCTGCTCTTCTGTCATTTCCTCTCAATTTTCCAGAATGGGGGAAAGAAAATTGAGCAAAGGAGGAAACATCTTTCTTTTTTCGTACTAGAGATCTGTCTATCTGGGAGGGGAAAAAAAGCCCACTTGGGGAAGGCAGGAGGGGAGAAGAGAGGAGAGGGGTTGGAGAAAAAGAAGATACTTTGTCCTCTTCACAAATAATTTTGGACTTTTTTTTTTTAAAACAACCTTCTTTTGGGAGGCAATGCTGGTTCTCCCTAGGCCCGGTGTTTCATCTCTCCTAGCCCCCTCCATTCATCCCTTCCTTTTCTTAAACCTTTCAAAAGGGGCCTGGGAGAAGCACCTTTTCAGCCCCAAGTCTAGCTTTTGCTCTGCGAAAGCGAGTACTCTAGTTAGTGCTTTGGAATTCCATTTAATTCAGCTTTCGAAGGAGTCCTGTTTCAGATACCTCACTGGGAGTTTTTATTACTTCCGTGGGTAGTTGGTGTTTTCTTTTTCTTTTCTTTTAATACGTGTGTTGGTGGATTTTTTTTTTTCTGGCAGGACGGAGACAAAGTTTTCCCCGTTATGAATTACACATTCAAACAATAACACATTAATTCAATTATTCAAACATGACAAATGTTTATGTGTTTTGCTGGTGACTCAGGCACAGATTCGGTCCTTATCGGGAGCTGCTCGGATATTTTTCTCTTTGAGGATTTACTTCACCCTTTATTCTCCCCCACTCATCCACCCAACACCCCCTCCTTCACCACCAGACTTTCCTTT